GTTTCTGCATGGTTCATGTACAATGAGATAAATCAGTCTGACTATATCTAGACAGCTTATTGCATTTTATTTGGAAAGCAAATGGATTCACTGTGTATTTTCCGAGTTTAGATTTACACACTGTACTAAGACATGATTTAGCAGGCTCTGATTTAACAATGTTGCGTAAGCTCAAGTCCCGATGTAACAGGGGCATCCGGCAGTAATATTTTATTGTGACCCTTTGCAGGAAAGAGTTGTTGAATCTCGACAAACTGGAAGCACAACTTAAAGCTTGCAACTGCCGACTTGTTTTTTCAAAAGCAAAAGTAAGTTTGAAATAAACCGTTCGCGATACGAAAGCTGAGGTCAGTGACTCAGTTTCTGGGCTGAGTGTGTATTTTTGTCCCCGCAGCCATCCATTTTGGCCCTGTGCCTTCTCTCTCTGGAAGTGCAGACTCTGAAATCCATGGAGTTGTTTGAGATTCTTCTGTGTGTTCAGAAGCACTCCAAGGTAAGAAAGCAGCATTCGTTATCTGAGGTCCAGCTATCCCGTTAAACCTTTTCGGGGGGGGGGGGAATAATAGTTGATTCAAAAATGTGTGGGGTTTTTTGTTTTAAACTGTATAGAGCAGAGGTCCCCAACCTTTTGGGCACCCGGGTCCAGTTCCGTGGAGAGAGGTTTTTCCACAGACCGGAGAGTGCGTGGTTTTGTTTGTTGCCTGCATCCCAAGGATGGGGCTTTGCTTGTTTGTGCGGACCGGTTGCTGGCATGCCACGGCCCGGTACTGATCCACAGCCCAGGGGTTGGGGACCCCTGGTATAGAGGAAAACGCCCCTCCCATTTTGAAGATAGATAATTTAGGAAGAAAATGCATCTTCCTGGAATAGAGAATTCCTGGCCTCCTGTAAATGGAAGGCAGGCCATGACTTTTCCTCCCATTTACCTTGGAAAAGCGAATGTTCTGTTCTGTTAAAAGTTGCATCATCTCACATATATGTTATCTCCTCAACCCGTCGTTCAGACTGCATTTCTCCACAGTCTCGTACGCCTGCGGGTTCTGTTAAAGCCCGTGAATTTTCTGGGGACAAATGTGGTTTGAGTTCATAGAATCATATAGTTGGAAGGGACCTTGGGAGTCTTCTAGCTGAAGACCCCCGGCCCAAGACAGGAGGGTGGTCCAACCTTGAAAAACTTCAGCAATGAAGCCCACACGGTTATGTGTTCCAGTTGATTTGCCTGAAGGCTTGAGCTATATGAATTGTTGTCAGATGTGCGGAGCCAGGATAATAATAATAATAATAATAATAATAATAATAATAATAATAATAATAATAATAATAAAGTTGAAAGGGACCTTGGAGGTCATCTTGTCCAACCCCCTGCTCAGGCAGGAAACCCTATACCATTTCAGACAAATGGCTGTCCAGTTTCTTCTTAAAAACTTCCAGTGTTGGAGCATTCACCGCTTCTGGAGGCAGGTTGTTCCACTGGTTAATTGTTCTAACTGTCAGGAAGTTTCTCCTTATAGTTCTAGGTTGCTTCTCTCCTTGATTAGTTTCCACCCGTTGCTTCTTGTCCTGCCTGCAGGCGCTTTGGAGAATAGCTTGACTCCCTCTACTTTGTGGGAGCCCCTGAGATATTGAAACACTGCTATCATGTCCCCCCCCCCCTTGAATTTCATTTTGTTAGATAGCACCCAGTGTTCAAGTCTGTCCAGGTCCTCCTGTATCTTAAGCCTGTCTTCTGGAGTGTTGGCTATTCCTGCCAGCTTGGTGTCATCCGCACATTTGATGAGTTCCCCATCTATCCCCTCGTCCAAATCGTTGATGAAGATGCTGAAGAGCACTGGGCCCAGAACAGAGCCCTGGGACACCCCACTACCGTGGTTGATTTGTGAAACTTTTTTTAAAAAAATTCATACGTGATTTTTTTTTTTCAGATAAGTGACAGTGACTTACTGTATTGGAGAGAGCTGGTCTCAAAATGCTTAGCAGATTATGCTTCTCCCGCCTGCTGCAAGCCAGACCATAAAAAACTCGTCTGGATTGTTTCAAGACGCACTGCCCAGAATCTTCAAAACAGCTACTATAGTGTTCCTGAGTTGCCCACAATCCCAGAGGCTGGATGCTTTGATGAAAGCGAGAGGTAGGTAAAATCTATCGGGCTTTCTCTATTGTTGGCTCTCTGTAGGTTGTCAGTTCAAGTAACTTAAGGGTAACTTATTTTTCAATAATGTAAAATGCACAAAGGACAGATTGATGACCCATCGACTAGCGCTGGCATTTAGAAAAATAAAATTATACGTATTTAGGAGTAAAGGATACACTTGTCACCTCTCGGTTTTGATGGTTAAATTATGTGTGTCCGTGGCATTGACACAACTATGTTTAGAAAGTCCTCATTTGGAAAAAATAAGCAATGAGCATTTTTGATAACTGCTGTGGGTCAGAATAAACAAACTTTCCCCCATTTTGATGCCTCTTAGAAGAATTGGATTACATCTACTGCAGGGGTCTTCAAACTTGGCCCTTTTATGGCTTGTGGACTTCAACTCCCAGAATTCCTCAGCCTGGCTGAGGAATTCTGGGAGTTGAAGTCCACAAGTCATAAAAGGGCCAAGTTTGAAGACCCCTATCGTAGAGCTGAAAGGGACCTTGGAGGTCTTCTAGTCCAGTCTCCAGCCCAAGGCAAGAGTCCTCATACTATTTTCAACAAGTAGTTGTCCATCTTTTCATGAAGACTTCCAACGATGGAGCACCCACAACTCTGGGAGGCAAACTATTCCATTGGTTAATTGTTCTTATTGTCAGGAAATTCCTCCTTGATTCTAGGCTGGATCTCTCTTTAATGATCTTCCACCTACTACTTTTTGTCCTGCCCTCTCTGTGACAGCCGTTCAAGTATTGAAAGATGCTATAAGGCTGGCTGAGGAATTCTGGGAGTTGAAGTCCACAAGTCATAAAAGGGCCAAGTTTGAAGACCCCCAATCTACTGTATCTTGCTGGAGAAGATGGGGCGTATATTTAGAGAGGGCCTAGTAGAGTAAACTAGAATAAACTTATTTTACTTTGAGAAGCTTTTTATTCTCATTGGAATAGAATGGCTTTTCCATCCTCCTCTGTTTTCAACAGGCTTCTCAGATTATTTAACGCTGCCTATGTACTTTGGCTTAAATCCTATGTTTGCACTGAGATGTCGGTAATTGTGAGTTGGTTTTTCCAAGGCCGTAGCAATTAGCTCTTCCACGGATCATTGGTGAACATGCTATCTTCCATTCCCCACCCCCCTATGCTTTAAATTAAATACGATGGCATGCAGATTGGCAGAGGGAGGAGCTGATGTCTCTGGTTAACCAGTGAAGTCATCTCTCTTCAGATTCCTTTTTGTCAGTGGTAATGAGATGAGTAGTTAAGTACACAATTGTGCTAACGAGACTGAGGATCACAGTGGGAAAAGATAATTACGAGCACTGCTGAATTCGCACATCTCTTTCTTAACAGCAGTAGAATTTTGTTTGCTGCCTAGAGTCTAATGGAGTGGACAGCCATCATTTAAATTATATTACCTGGTATTTCAGAGCATCGTATTTCAAATCTTACATTAAGTCTCCTTTGCATTGTGCTGATGATTACAACATGAAGATAGCCGTGTTGTTTTCTTGAAAAAGCATGGAAATTGTTTGCAATCCTCTTCTTCCATGATCTGGCTCAGCTTGTCTGCCTGTCTATCTACTTAATTTCAAAAGATGACTAGGGCTGGTACATTTTAAAGTGCACATAATTTTTGATAACAAGCTGTTGCCTGGATGCTTATCTCCTATACACAATGGACTCTCACAATTCCCTGTCAAACGGTGATTCACGACTTCTCCTACACTGGATTTTATCAAAGCCTTTTTCAGACAAAGCTAAATATTACCTCCTACTATGCCCTTTATCTGCTAAGATGCTATCTGGAGAGCTTCATTGTTTAGCAATAACTAATTTGGTAGCTAGATGTAGAAAATTAGTAGGTTTTTTTTTAATTTGCCATTTTAAGTTTTGGCTCATCAAACACATGTAACAAATATAACTCAGGAAACTTGTATTATATTCCCATCAAAGGGGAAAGAATGTTCCTTGAGTTTACAGCCTTACCAGCATCTCATTGAATATCCGAGGGAGATGGGTGGTTAAAAAATATGAAACACAAATAAAATATTTTAAGAGACCTCCCTGAGATTCTTCTGGAAGGTTGAATGCCATCAGTGTGCTCAATAACCTAAGTGGCTGATTATCAGAACTGTTTTGACCTTTGCACTTAAAACTCTGAAGCTTGCAAAGCCAGTGTCATGGTTCCGACAGATTAAACTCTTCAAAGAACTTCGAGGCATTGTTTTATCTTAAAGAATCTTTATTGGAGTTAGCATAGCTTTGGCACTAACATAGTTGAAGCCAAAATCTGAATTCCCCTCCCCTGAGCTCATAGTATCAAAGCACAATTCCCTCCTCTAATTAACAGTTATAAATCACATTCTCCAATTAGTTTGAAATGCAGGCTTTCCCTCCAGTTCTTCAACCCACCATATCTTATCATCTCTTATTTCAAAAAACCTTGGTTCTCACACTAGTTACGATATTGTTATGTCTAACTAACTCCCATCACAGCCAGTTCCTCACTGATTCAAATGCAATATATCTGGTTAGGTGCGGATATATTTGCTAGAAAATTGAGTAATAATTTGATAAAAAAATATTTTGGTAAGGAAAAAGGTACAGTAACTTGGCTGACTCAGAAGAGAATAACACGTGATGAATACAGGCAGTCCTCGCCTTACAACCATAACTGAGCCCAAAATTTATGTCGCCAGACGAGAAATTTGTTAAGTGAGCTTTGCCCCATTGTACGACTTTTCTTGCCGTCTTTGTCAAGCGAATCCCTGCAGCTGTTAAATTAGTAACAATGGTTGTTAAGTGAATCTGATTTTCCCAGAGGGGGATCACATGACCCCCTGGGACAGTGCAACCCGTCATAAATGCGAGTCGGTTGCCAAGTATCTGAACGTGAATCGCCTGACCGTGGAAATGCTGCAACGGACGGGTCATCAGTGTGAAAAAACGGTCCTAGGCCCCGGTTTTTTTTTTCAGTGCCGTTGTAACTTTGAACGGACACTAAGTGAACTGGCTGTAAGTCGATGGCTACTGTACCATATTTGGTTACTCTCTTTTTTCCCTCCTTTCTTCGTGATGGCTGATTAGTGTCACCGTTTTCTTTTTGCAGTGAGGACTCCTGTGAAGACATGAGCTGTGGAGAAGACAGCCTGAGCAGTTCCCCTTCCAGTGACGGAGAAGGCGCCTTCTTTTTTGACCTCAAACCAAAATCAAAGTGGCAGGCTCTCTCCTTCGATTCCATGTGCTAGTCTGAGCTCCTTCAACGCACCGTACTATTTGTAGGCAATAAGTCTCTTAAACCAGCCCTCTCTCCCGCTCGGGTGCCTTCCAAGTGCAGGCTTCCACTCCCAGAATCGCCAGCCCACCCCTAACTTGTCGATAAAAAAATTCTGGGGGTCGAAATCGACATGGCCGGAATGTGCTTACGGTTGGGGAAAAAAAGCTGATCTTAGCATTCCTTGTCCTTTGGTACAAGATCTCATGGAGTACTCACAGTACGTATTGTGCTTTTTACCTTTGTATGATGGTAACGTCTGATGTGGCGCGAGGGATCAAATTAACCATTTCAAACCTTGTTCAGCGAGAAACAATCCACAGGAGCACAACAAAATTCGCCACCACCGGAGCACAAGACAGCTTCAAAAGCTTTTGAGCTGGGCTTGAATTCTCTGCTGAAAATAGGTTGAATCTTAGCGGTTGACGTATTTGGTGGATAAATGAAATCGCAGTGACGTATATGAATTGCTTTTCTTTCTTTCTTTTAAAAAAGATTTTAAATAATTTTTTTTTGTTATTCTTTTAAAGGAAGTATTCCTGGGGTTTTTCAGGAGACTTGTTTTAATCACAAATGCTGTTTTTGGGGTAGAAATAAATAAGCTGCTTTTTTTGTTTTTTAAACGCAAAACCAATCCACACTGGTTCTGAAGCATATTTTAGTGCTAAAATTTCTAAAGGTGAGCTTTCAAATCCTCAAATTAGGAAATGAAATGTTTTTAGAAAACCTTAGTGTTGCTGTTAAAACAAAAACAAAAACGATACTATTAAAATTAGAAAGTACCGGATTTCAGTGTAAAGTCCCCAGTCCCTCTCCCATAGCTTATTTCAGTATTTCTTTTACATCGTTATTAAGTAAATCTATATTCGTTAACTTTTGCATGCTTAAGTGAAAATGGTTAGTGGAAAGGCAATTGATTATGGAGAAGTTTTGATAAATGTGAAGTTGATAAAATGGGTGTCATGACATTTAATTGCTTGCCTTCACCCCCCCCCTTTTTAAAGCACAGACTTAATGGTTGCTTTACTTTAGTTCCTTTAAATATATGCAAAGTAAGCAAAAGAAGTCATTTAGTCTGTAGTAATAATGTGAAAGCAAGGCTATGGTTGAAATGAAGCGGCAATAAAGTTATGATCCTTGCTTTGAGTGTTTTTTCCTGTGTAGCAGAAGTGAATGTTTGATAACGTGCGGTGTGATCTGATTTTTATAAAGAAAAAAAAAAGTTTACAAAAACGTGTAAAAATGTAAATTAAAACCTGTAAAAAAACTTAAAAAAACAAAATAAGCTGAAAAATATTGTATTTTTACAGTGTACGTTACTTTCTATATGTTGCATGTAGATATTAATTTATTATACCTTGTATATGATATAAATAATGTATATGGAAGGTTGGGGGTGGGGGGGTTGGTACTGCCAGACTGTCAGAATGTTTTTTGAAAGCTATTTTTGCTCAGAAATAACTCAAGATTCTCTCTCTCTGCTTCTATTCAATAAAACCAAATGCTTTTTTTTTTTTCTTATCTGAGTCTCTGGTGATTTTTGGCATAACAGGGCAGCTGGGACAAAATCAGAAACCAGAACACATTTTTAAGGAAGTGGTCACAACTTCTAAGTAACAGGAAAGTTAATTGTAATGAGGATGTGAAGATAAAGTGAAAGTGAAGATAATATTATAAGAAAATGATAATGAAGTTATCCTAGGCTTCTGGAGAGATTTTCGACACCATCCTGCACAACATATAACCAGACTAGATGCATTTAAAAAATAACCTGGTAGAAAACAAAGTGAAGGAGGATGATTACAGGTAGAATTTCAGATCAGATAGCCCAGTGATGGCGAACCTTTTAGAGACCGAGTGCCCAAACCACAACCCAAAACCCACTTATTTATTGCAAAGTGCCAGGGCCACAGCAGCATTGTGGTGCCCTTGGGGGGCATGGGGGTGTGGCCCACTGGGTGGGCATGGCTGCAGTTGTCACGGCAGACGGTGGGCGTGGCTGGGGTGGGCATGACCACCTCGATGTTGCTCATGGGGGGGACGCCTGTGGGGGCCGGGCAGGGTTGGGGGAGATCCATGGGGTCTCTGGCAGGTGGGGCGGTGGGCAGGAGGCCCAGCATAGATGGGGAGGCACACAATCCTAGCTGGGGCTGGGGGGTCATGGCGCTGGTCGGCGTGCTCTACCACCTCTACTCAAGTTTGCTAGCTGGCCGCTTCGCCTCCTTTGTGCTAGGTGGGGCTGCCGCTCCGGGCGGTGGTGGCGGCCTAATGGACCTGCGCAAGCTGCTCTGAGTGCCGCCTCTGGCATGCATACCATAGGTTCGCCACCACTGAGATAGCCAATCAAATCCATATGCTAACCTGCTAACATATACGTATACAAGTAGTCCTTACAACCACAACTGAGCCCAAAGTTTCTGTTGCTGAGACAGTTGTTAAGTGAGTTTTGCCCCATTTTTCGATCTTTCTTGCCACCGTTGTTAAGTGAATCACTGCAGTTGTTAGGTTAGTAACACGGTTGTTATGTGAATCTGACCTCCCCACTGACTGCTTGTCGGAAGGTCGCATAAGGGGATCACACATGGGAAAAAAAAACCCCGGGACACTGCAACCGACGCAAATATGAACCAGTTGCCAAGTGCTTGAATTTTGATCACATGACTTTGGATGCTCCCAACGGTTTGAGTGTGAAAAAGTTGTAAATCGCTTTTCCAGTGTTGTAACTTTGAAGGGTCACTAAATGAACGGTTATAAGTTGACTATCTGTAGAGGAAGTCTGGAGCAGTTTAGGCTCTGTGGTCATGAAACTCTTGTGATGCTGGTATTTTGGCACTAAGCCAGGGGTCTTCAAACTTGGCCCTTTTATGACTTGTGGACTTCAACTCCCAGAATTCCTCAGCCAGGCATGCTGAGTTGAAGTCCACAAGTCATAAAAGGGCCAAGTTTGAAGACCTCTGCACTAACATTTCATACACAAGTTTAAATAATTGCATTAAATAATCTAGCTTGGCCATATTTACCCTCCATTATGTTACACCATATGGGTAGACTGGGTGACTGACGGCTGTGCAGAATAATTGAGTCCTCAACCTACGAGCCTAATTGACCAAATTGCAGTTGTTAAGTCATGGCAGTCATTCAACAGATTTCCACCTGACCCCACCCAACATTATGACATTTTTGGTGGTGTTGGATAAGTGAATTTCACAGTCATTAAGCAATCTCCAGTTTCCCCAATGGGCTTTGTTGGCTGGAAACCAGAAGTAAACACCAGAAGCCGGCAAAACCATGTTAAAAATTGGGGTCGTAATCGCATTTTGGGTGTTTGGCAACTGGCTCCCATTTGCTGCGGGATTGTGTGAGCACAGGGGTAGATGGGAAGAGTGCCTCCATCAGCCCTTCAAAAAGTTGTAGGTAACGAGAGATCTGTTATAACTTTCAACAGTCCCGTAAACAACAGGTTATAAGTCAAGGACTATCTGTATAACAAACTAGTGAAATAGCCCATATTAAAAATATGAATTTTTGCCAGTAAATTCTGCTCTGCATATCCTAACCTACTGCTTGACGGATACGTACAGCTAATTTCAATCTGTGAACTATGTTGGTCCAAACACATTTTGAAGTACACCAGATGGAAAGGCTGGCTTAACCAGTGTTTCTCAACCTTGACAATTTTAAGGCATGTGGACTTCAACTCCCAGAATTCCACAGCCAGCATTGCTGGCTGTGGAATTCTGGGAGTTGAAGTCCACATGCCTTAAAATTATCAAGGTTGAGAAACACTGGCTTAAACCTTCTTAGTTGAGCTCCAGTTTTACTGAAGACCCCTAGATGGCACTGTCTTCTTAAGGCAGGACATGTACTATAGCTAGGACCTAAATTATATCCCTTTTTAAACAAAATGTACAGTCTCAGTAGTTGTTGGTTTTCCACTGGTGTGTTCAAACAGTAGGCCTACTTCTGTCAACTGCCTGGCAATTGGGGGTTTTGTTCAGTATTCATTGGCATTATTCTGAAGATGCCATCGTCGTTCATTACTCTAGAAGAGAGTAAATTGTATATCTTTTCAATGTAAGGCTTATTTCAGGGGTCTTCAAACTTGGCCCTTTTATGACTTGCGGACTTCAACTCCCAGAATTCCTCAGCCAGCGTGAACTCTGGGAGTTGAAGTCCACAAGTCATAAAAGGGCCAGGTTTGAAGGCCCCTGGCTTATTTATTTGTATCCTGCCTTTATTACTTTGAAAAATAACTCAAGGGGCTGAACATATCCAACACACTTTCCTCCTCCTATATTCCCCACAACAACAACCCCCTGTGAAGGTGGGTTGAGCTGAGGGAGGATGACTGGCTCAAGGTCACCCAGCTGGGTTTCATGTCTAAGGCGGGATTAAAACTCATAGTCTCCTGGTGATTGGCCCAAAAGTCACCCAGCCAGCTTTCATGCCTGAGGCAGGACTAGAACTCACTAGAACTCCTGGTGATTGGCCCAAAAGTCACCCAGCCCGCTTTTATGACTAAGGCAGGACTAGAATTCACTGTCTCCCACTTTCTAGCCTCATTCCTTAACCCAGGGGTCTTCAAACTTGGCCCTTTTATGACTTGTGGACTTCAACTCCCAGAATTCCTCAGCCAGGCAGGCTGGCTGGCTGAGGAATTCTGGGAGTTGAAGTCCACAAGTCATAAAAGGGCCAAGTTTGAAGACCCCTGCCGTAAAGCAATATTTCTCAATGCCAACCACTTTGTGGACTTCAACTTGATCTTGATCTTCCTTGTCTCTAGGTCAGTGATGGCGAACCTTTTAGAGACCGAGGGCCCAAACTGCAACCCAAAACCCACTTATTTATCGCCGGGTGCCAGGTGGGCGTGGCCCACTGAGTGGGCGTGGCAGACTGTGTGGATGTGGCCAAGGTGGGCGTGGTCACCTCGATGTTGCTCGTGGGGAGGGACACCTGTGGGGACCGGACAGGGTTGGGGGAGATCCAGGGGGTCTCTGGCAGGTGGGGCAGTGGGGCGGAGGCTCGTCCTGTGGAGTGATGCGAGGCAAGGTGAGGCAGCCATTGTCGCAGGGCAATATAGTTATTCTAAACATGTGCTAAGCTATTTGCATATAAGCATATTGTTTTGCTTAGCCATTGAAATGTTGGGCTCACTTGTGGTTGTAAGTGAAGGATTACCTGGATGCAAAAATTGAAAACAAACAACTAATAATCTGAAAAGATTGCACCAATTCTGGAAAGAACAACACCCAGAATCAGAAATAATAAAACAGAAGCTATTAGAATAACACACTGAGTTATAATACAAAATAAAATATCCGCAGAAGAGAACTGGAAGCGCTGCAAAGTTTTACTCAAGGAGAATAAATTGAAACCTTAGCAAAAGTAGCTGGGACTGTAAAGGCCCGAAGGATCATGTTAGGAACACACCATCACTGAGAAAATCTATCTATATGGTCATTACGAGTCAACAACAACTTGATGGCCCAGGATCAATCAACCAGTCCACATTCTGGACAGACTGGATGGCTGGTTGGAAAGAGGGTTCAAAGAGGTCATGTACGTTAAGACTGAGCAGCCCTTTCTCAAGAGAGGGGGAGGGATGTGATACCACAGATCTCCTGTTTGCAACACAGTCCTTTCAGCAGTTCCAAGAACAGTGCAGATGGGTGTGGAACCCTCCAGGAACTGCTGTAAAACTGAAAAGAAGGATGTGGAAACTTATTGGAACTGCTGTGTTTATTTGAGAGCACAGATATAAACCTCCAAATGGCCTCAACGATTCTCAGAAAGAATGCTAATGATCAGATGACTGCAAGGAATATAAATCCTTCCATTCTCCACCATTCATTCAGAACTGAGGAAGCTTTTTGGATGAGAAGCAAAATGTCTTCAAGAAAAAGAAAGTCTAGCAGTCTTTTGAAAAGCACCTTTGGGATGATAAATCTATCAGTATGGTAGAAGATTCCACATTCTAAATCAATATCTCAGGCAAAATAATCTACATAAGACAAAAGCAGTTGAAAAACTGATAACTGGATATTCTCCCTTGATTCAAACAATATGTGTGGGAATCAAGGGAGATACACTGGAGGATTTAAGGGCATTGGTATAGAAGCCTGCTTGGCATAAAAAGAAAGCCAGAGTTAGATTTAAAAATGGGATTTAAAAATTCATTTGGGGATTAAGCAGCTTTTCTTTTAGAGATTTTGACTGATCTTAGAGATATTGACTGATTTAATATTTAGGATTCAGATTTATAATGGAAATTAAAATAATTTGTTAGATTATAGCCTTAATGATTATAGGGATGGATTTGTGATAATGAAAGATATGTTATTAGTATATGAGGAGTTATTAGGATGAGAAATAGAATATATTGGTGAATAAAGAAAGAATTTAAATTTTGGAATAATATTTGTATTTTAGTCACAAGAATTAGTTTATAATAAAACGAGGGAAACTAAACCTATCCAAAT